GTTTGAGGGCATCCAGTGAGGGCAGCCTGAATTTTCTTCTTGGCAATATCTGTCCATCATGGCTTGCTCTGCCTTCTAGTGCCAAGCAGAGCATGTCTATCCAACTAGGCCAGTTAGAGGGTGAGCTCCTGAAGGGCAAAGAGCTCAAACACCTGACTCTAAACTGAACACTGTGCTTTACATGCAACAGGTAATTGTAATTGACAGTGATATCAGACAATGAAATGCTACCAGAGCCTTAATAGTAATAAGATATTACATTTACATACCTTTTTATACTTAGAAGTCTTAGAGCTGAAAGGGATCTTGCAAACCTTGCAAGATAGTTATTCCTATTGCAAATAGTAATAATTAGCATTTATATAGCACTTTACAATGCACTTTAAAATATTATCTCATTTTATCTCCACAATAACCCTAGGAAGTAGGTGCTATTGTTATTTACATTTTACAGATGAGAAACCTGAGGCTGAAAGAGATTAAGTGACTTGCTTAGAGTCACTTAGCTAGAAAATGTCTGAGGTCAGATTTGAACTAAGGTCTTTCTGACTCCACACCCAGCACTTTATCCACTGTACCACCTCACTGCCTCAGTTATCCTCAGCTTCTTCAGTTGATCTTTAGAATGTCTTGGTTTCCAGTCTTCTCCCCATCGTGGTTGTATTTTCTGGGTGTTACTCCCCCATGCCAATATCTTTTCTCACACCAACTCTTGCTGTCCATGCCTATTCAATTTGTCCAGACCTGGCACCTTTTATTCATTTAGCCTTGCTAAGTGTTTCTTCAATATTTCCTCCTGTTGCCTGGAAAGGGGAAATAGGGATAGCTAAGTAGTGCAGTTGATAGAGAATCAGACTTGGAGTTAGGAGGACCTGAGTTCAAATTTGACCCCAGATACTTACTATCTGTATGACCCTAGGCAAGTCACTTAACCCTGATTGCCTTTAAAAAAGGGGGGAGAAGGGAAATGACTTACTTAAGGTTATAGAAGTCTATCAGCACCATGACAAGAACCTGGGTTCCTCAACCACTCTTCCTTAGGCCCCCTTTGTGGTCACCTCTTTATTCCTGAGTGGCTCACACCACTTTGTCTGGACCTCTTTTACATGCTTAACCTAGAGATTCATAGAGTTTAGAGCTGAAAGAGACCTTTGAGATTTAGTCCAATCCCTTCATTTTTCAGATGAAGAAACAGATCCATAAAAGGGAACTGACTTGAACAAGGTTTGCACAGGTGAGAAAGGATTTCAGCTGAGGTCCTCTGACCCCAAACCCAGGGTTTTTCCCACTACATCTCAAGTACAGTGACAGTTGACTGGGGTAAACTTTCCCCTCAATTTCTATCTTGTTAAGATGAAAACTGAACCTGTGATTTCATTGATCTAGGGACTCCCAGTGAGGAAGTTTCTTTCTTTCTTTCTTTCTTTCTTTCTTTCTTTCTTTCTTTCTTTCTTTCTTTCTTTCTTTCTTTCTTTCTTTCTTTCTTTCTTTCTTTCTTTCTTTCTTTCTTTCTCTTTCTTTCTTTCTTTCTTCTTTCTTTTTCTTTCTTTCTTTCTTTCTTTCTTCTTTCTTTTTTCTTTCTTCTTTCTTTCTTTCTCTTTCTTTCTCTTTCTTTCTTTCTTTCTTTCTTTCTTTCTTTCTTTCTTTCTTTCTTTCTTTCTTTCTCTTTTCCTTCCTTCCTTCCTTCCTTCCTTCCTTCCTTCCTTCTTTCCTTCCTTCCTTTCTTCGCTCCTTCTCCCTTTCTCTCTTTTCTTTGGAGGCAATTGGGGTTAAGTGACTTGCCCATAGACACACAGCTAGTAAGTGGAGGTCAGATTTGAATTCAGGTTCTCCTGATTTCCTTTTGTACCATATAGCTGCCCCCAGGAACTTTCTTTACCAGTGCAGTATGCCACCTCCTCTACAACTTTTGTTGTTGTTCAGTCACATCCTATTCTTCATGACCTTGTGGACCAAACTGCCCATGGAGTTTTCTTGGCAAAGGTACTGGAGTGGTTGCTATTTCCTTCTTCAGTTGTGCCCAAAGTCACACAGCTAGTCAGTATCTGAGGTCAGACTTGGACTCTGGTCTTTCTAGTCTTTCTGACTCTAGGCCCAGTGCTCTATCCACTGTGCTACCTGACTGCCCCTCTCTACAACTTAGAGCCTTAGAAATTTGCCTAGTATATTGAGCTTTATCGAAGGGCAGATATCCAACATGTGTTAAAGACAGGATTTGAACCCAAGTCTTCATGGTTTCAAGACCTGCTCTCTATCCACTATGCCGAGATAGTCAAATCTACTTTCCATTTTCTCTTCTCAGGTGTCCAAGTATGCTTTTCTATTGGTTCACAATTCCTGCTAATTTACAAGCCACCACCAGCTGTGGAATCTTGGTGTGACTATATTAGTTCCTTATTCTATGCTTATTTGGTTTTTCTCTGACTCACATCTTTGTGATACAAGCATAAGTGTAAACACAGTTGTCCGGGGAGACACCCTAGTGGTACAAAGTGAGGAGACCTTGTGGAAAGAGCACTGAAGGAAACTTGGGTTCAAATCCTACTTATCTCATTACTTGCTTCTATGATCCAAACAAATCATTTCCTTCCTCAGGGTTTTAGTTTTCTTATATATATAATGATTTATATAGTATATAATTTATGAAATATATAATATAATTATAATATATAATTTATATAATGAGATAACCTTTAAGGTCTCTTGCTGATCCTATGATCCTATGCTGAAGTCATTGTATAATGTTTTAGGGACCACCATTGCCAAAAAAGCCTCTTTTCCCTTCCACCTACTTCTCCCTCCCTCATGTTAAGGTGACCCATTTATTTTTAGAATCTGTTCCACTTTAATCTAGCTCTTGATATTAAATTTTGACCATATTTCACTAGGAAAAAGAAAAAAAAAGTTTTTCAATGGGAGGGAGTGATCATTGTATGATTAATCCTGGGACCTGTACCCCTCCCAGCAATGGCCCTTGGCTCTGAACCACTCTAAAGACAACCAGAGCTTGATACTCTGACCAAGTCATAGGGCAATGAATGCCCCCCTACTGCATAGGTAAGATAGCAGAAATAGGTGCTTTACCCTATTCAAATGCCCCGACAGAGGCTGCTGTCCAAAACAGTGAGTGCTGATTTAATTTGTAGATACTTTGTTCCCTCCTGCCAAGTTTTTACTACCAAGTCTCAACATGTATAAACTTTTAAGTGCTAATACATATGTACAGTTCCATAATAGAAACACCATTATGGCACTGGGCTAACTAGCACCTACTACCCCCCTCCATGAATTCTCTAGTCTAGTCACTGCTCCCCAGTGCCTCCAAGGACCCCAAATGCCTACAGGACAAAGCCCAAATTCATTGACTTGTTCATAGTTTGGCCCAACTTATACCTTCAATTTTATCATCTATTACTCTCTTAGATGAACCCTTTACTCTAGACAAACTAGACTACATACTATGTGCTGAATACACCTTTCATTTTCCCATCTCCAAGTCTTTGCTTTTGCTTTCCCCTTTCTCAGAATGCCCACCCTTTCCTCCATGACACAATTCTACTTATCCTTCCAAACTCAGCCAAATTCCTCCTCTTCTAAGAAGGCTTTCCTGACTTCTACAACTGTGGCTGATGTCATTCTTCTCTGATCCTTATTTACATATATTGCCTTAAATTTTCAGTTATATTTTCATGTGTACATATCTTATTTTCAGACCTGGATTATAAATTCCTTGCTATCAAAGTCCATCTTATATTTCTTTGTATCCCCTTGAATGCTTATCGTTGTATCATGTACAAAATAGGCACTCATTGAATATTTTATTGGTTGTGGTGATGAGGGGAACACAGGTTTAGCCCAGAATAGAGAAACCTGGGGGGGACAGGAAATGATGATATTTTTCAAATGTTTAAGATTTATAAATTTTCACATATTTTAAATACATTAGAATTTTCATGTGGAAAAAGGATTAGGCCTATTGTAATGGGCAGAAGATGAAATAACTAAGGAAACAATGATTTGAGCTTCTGAGCATTATCTATTTATTAAGCAATGTATGCCAATTACACAATTTAGCACTGGACCTTGAATACAGGGGGAGACAGATTTTTATGCACTAAAAGAAAACAATTAATAGGCTATAAACCAGGATACAAGATTAGGTGATCTGATTTCTAATTGGAAGAAAGATTATGGACTTTCCAAGTTGGGAAGGAGAGAGTGAAGGGGTAGAATTCCCCGAAATCAGAAGAAAAGATGTCCCACTCCTCCAAGTGTCTGTATTCAATCAAAGGAACATAGAAACAATAACTAATTGACCAGTATGGAGACAGTTTCCAGATAAGACATATGAGTTGCTTGAGATGTATAATTGTGGAGGGAAAACTCCTTGCATTAATCTTTAGATCTGACTGAGTTTCTGGTCAGCACAATCCAGGTTCTTGGTTAAGGTTCTCTCAGCAACAGGTACAGGTGGTCTGGCTTCCCAGCCACTCAGTGCTAGGATCAAAAACGTACTGAAGTTTTTTCACAATTCCCATAATTGAATAAAGTTTTCTCGTAAGACAAAAATTGGTCTACACCCGTAATTAAATAGAAAGGGAACTGAGCTGGAACCAAAATTGAGTCTCAAGATGGAGTCAGTGTGGTTCACTCAATTCCCAACAATTATCTCATTATTTTACTTGCTCCCAGTGGGCAGAACTAGAAACTTTGGGTGAATATTTCAAGGAGATAGATTTCAACTTAATGTAGGGGAAACACTTCCTCATAGTTAGTGATACTCAAAATTGGAATGGGTTGCCTTAGAAGTAATAAATTCCTTTGAATCTAGAGGAGGCTGAATGACTCATTGAGGATGTTGGAAATGGGATTCATGATTGGGGAAGGGGTTAGATGTCATTGCTTTTGGTTGAAAATTTGGGAATTTCTGCTTAATCATTGTAGTCTTAGGATGCTTGGTTTCCTGTTGACTCTAGTGAAATTTAAAATCAGAGGTGGTTTTTGGCCTTCAGCCAAGTTTTCAATCAATCAACAAACATTTGCTACTGAGTGACAAGTACATAAGATCATAGAATCATAGGTCTAGACCTGGAAGGCATTGAGAAGCATCTACTCTAAACTCCCCAGTTTATGGATGTAGACCCTGAAGCTGATGGAGGTTAAATGAGTTTCCCAAAGTTGCACATGTGATAAGTGACTTTCCCAAGGTCTCACATGTGATTTGAACCCCAACCTTTCAAATCAAGTCAGTGATCTTTGCCTTATACCAAGCCCTTCAAGTCAGCTCTGAACGGTGATGGTCTTGATAGCAGTCAATGGTGTCTGTGTGCACAGTTCATGAATAAGAAGGTATGTCATCCATGTATCATATCAGAGGCAATGGCCTTGAGTAATAGTAACCAGTGCCCACACCCAGCCACCCCACTGATCTTCTACTGACTTACCCTCAGGCCATCAACTAGCCAAACCAACCAGCCAAACCAATCAACCAGCCAGAAGGGACTCATGTGAAACAGAATAATTAGGAGAGTAACGAGAACAGCCAGTGAAATACTAACACAGTTAGTTATTAAACCTATTCTTTTAATCAATGATATAAGTAAGCTCTCCATCCTAGATGCAGATGTCACTCCTAATAACACTTTGTGTTGATCAAGTGCCTTACACCTGAAAGGGCATCACAGTAGCCTCACAATACCTTGGTGAAGCAGGCATTGATACTCTCATTTTACAAATGGGAAAAAAAATTGGTATATCTCTGGTCAGTTATGTGGGAGTACACCAGATCATCGTGATCATTTCCATACTAGGAGCTCCGGTCTCCTCTGTCTTCTCTAATAAGATGGTAAGGAGTCTGATCACAGGCAAATAAACATGAAACTATCAACAGTTCACAATCTGTAGCTTGGACAAGCTCAGCTCCCAAGCGAGGTAGTTCGGAATTGAAATAATTAACCCCAACCACATAGGGTATGGGTGGGGCATTGTAGGACATAGTTTGAAATGCTCTTGGTTCATGTCTCCTTTGTCTTGTCAGAACTATGGCAGGTGGTCAGAGTCCCAAATTCCACTAGCATGGTGGTCATCAAAGGAGAAGTCAGGCAAGATCAAGGGGGATGCCCCTGGAAGCCTTGGAGACCATTTCCGGCTCTCAGTCTTGTTGGAGCACTGGGTTCTTTAGGAAAAGGATGAGCTTTTGGGCCACAGCATCCAACTCATTTTTGCTGGAATACTGAAACATGTTGGTCTCCTTGATGAAAAAATGTTTCAGGAAGTGCTGGTTCACACACTTGTATAGCTTACGGACCAGACGCAAGAAGGCTTTTCGGAAGACACGCCAGTCTTTGGAATGTGGGTACTTTTCACAAGTCCAAAACAGTATAGTCTGTAGAAAGGAGAAGGGATCAAACACACTTAGTAATTTTTGAACTGAAGATGTGTATTTGCAAGTTCTGAAGATGTATCGTACAGAGGCCATAGCTGTCATACTCATGAATTCATTCAGCAAGTATTTTAAAGCACCTACTATGAGCAAGGCACTGGAGATACAAAGATGAAATGAAACTGTTCCTGCCCTCAAAGAGATTCCATTGTACTAGAGATCCACCATGTTCACAAGTGAATACAAAGTATATACATCACAGTAAGGGAAGGTGATTTCAAGAGAGAGACAATGCTAATTACTAGGGAAGATCCCCAGTGACCTCGTATAGTTTAGGAGGTAGCACCTGAACTGGATTTTGAAGGAAATTTGAAGTAAGGATTCCGATATGGGGGAATACTCCTTGCAATGGGAGATGGAATGTTATGTATAGACAACAAATCTCAGGTCATTCTGACTGGAACAGAGAATAGAGAGCAATATGAAATGAAACTGAAAAGGAAAGTGGTGGTCCTGGAGTCGGGAGGACCTAAGTTCAAATCTGGTCTCAGATCAGACACTTGACACTTACTAGCTTTGTGATCCTGGGCAAGTCACTTAACCCCAATTGCCTCACCCCCCCCCCAAAATGGAAAGTGGGAATCAGACTGTTTAAGATGATCTTAAATGACAGGGTGGATTTTTTAAAAATTTAAATTCTGAGAGACTTAAGATTGAAAAACCTTGATTAACAGAAAGGCAACAGAGAGTGAGAGAGTAAAGACCTAACCTGAACCCATAAAACCATTTCAGGTTATCTTCTGAAGGACCAAGTCTGTGAGCTAGGAAAATAGGTTGAGTATTCATAGAGGACTTTGTTATGATAGCTATCATTAGAATAGAGAAGGGGGCCTGGAATGCACAAAAGTTTTCTTGCTCAAGGAGAGAAGAAAAACATGACAGAGGAGAGGAAGTGTTTATGGTTATAAACACAATATATGCCCTAAAAGCTTCGGAGCCTCCATTAAGAGGAGCATATACATTTTGGACCAAGAATTTTTGTAGGCATCCACAGGAGGAAATCACAAACAGAGATGGAAGTCTTAGGTACAATAGGTCTAAGTTTCTTAAGTCTCAGCCCCCAGCCCAATACAGCCAATTTATAAGGGCTTGTCAATTGATTGATTAGTTATCTGTCTGTGTTTCTACAAGTAAATGCCACCCTCCTGTTAAACCACTGGACCTTCTGAGGTCAAGAATAAAAACCAAAGCTAATGAAGAGACCATTAACTCATCTGGGATGGTATGTTCAGGCCTGTTAAAGTTATGAGGATTCACTAAATGTGACATAGCCAAACGGTCATACACTGTACCAGAAATTGAGACAGAGGGATATGAGAAAGATAGAGTCAAATGAGATGTTGAGCTGGGGTCAGTGGCACAGCCAGTAGAAATCCTTAAAAATGAATTGGAATCAGAATGTGCTGATGATATTATGTGGGTGCAGGCAATGCTTCAGATAATAATATCAGCACTTCCTAGTATCCCCTATGCCCCCAGTTGTCTGTGTGATGTATATATGCATTAATTCAGAAGTCTCTGACCACTATACATGAGAAAGGGACGGTATACTCCAAAACTGAGGTTTGGGTGAAGTGAGGGAGGTATGGTAAACTTGTAGGGATAATTCCAAGTGAAATCCTAGCAAGGTTACTGTGCTTTCTTGGTAGGGGGCTGAGGTGAATCTCAGAATCTCAACATTGGAAGAGATGACAGGGGCCATCTGTTTCAACTCATTCCTGATTGACAGCTGTTCTACAGTAATGCCAACAAGTGGTTATCCAGCTTCACCTGAAGACCTCCAATGAGGGGAAACTCACTACCCATATGCTTTTGGACAATTGTAATTTTCAGGAAAATTTTCCTTTGAGTCAACTAATATTTGCCTCTCTGCAATTTCTTTCACCTGCTGTTTCTACTTCTACCTTCTGGAACCAAGCAGAACAAGATTAATTTATCTAATTTTCTTTTTTGGGGGGGAGGAGTTGGGGGAAGGATGAATTAATTGAATTTGTATCTCAAAGAGTTGCCTGCCTGGGGAAATGAAAGGGTAAAATAACTTGCTCTAGCTCATTCATCCAATGTGTGCCCCAGATGGTATTTGAACCTGGGTCTTCCTGGCTCTCCCTCCATTATACCACATTGCGTCTTCCTCATTGTAACCCTGTAAATAGTTGAAGAGAGCTAGCATGTCTTCCTTAATTCTTTCCTTTTCTAGGCCCCAAATCCCTACTATGGTTGTCCTGTGGAGGCCATGATGCCCTCCTTTTTGAATTCATTACCTTACCATAGGTCTTCTGTGTAATTTTTAGAGCCATTTTTACAGGTATTTGGAGAGGCTTTGGGGAAAGCTCAAGCAACTCACTGCTTTTACTCTGCCATCTTGGCTCCACCCTCATAAACTTTCAGTTTTAAAGCCCAATAGTGTCTGCACTAAGTCCAGCACCATAAAGTGAGCCTTGGGGAGGATGGGGTAGAGGGGGGTGGGAATCTGTAATTTTTACAGTATCATAGATTTAGAGCTATTCTGAAAGGGCTCTGAAAGGTCTTCCAGTCCTATCACCTTCATTTTACGGATGAAAAAATTGAAGCTTAGAAGTTTACACAGCTAGGAAGTATCTGAGCTAGCCTTTGAACCTATGTCTTCCTGATTCCAAGTCTAGCATTTTATCTACTATACCAAACTGTTAATTCTTGAATGGTGATGGGTCTTCATAGGGAACAAATTAGAAAATTTCTGAGGAGAGTGATCATTGAATCTTAGTTAAACAAGCCCACCTAGTCTGATAGATAAAAGAGTGCCACTCTTTCTGACTTCTCCAAACCCTTGTCTGTCACATATACCTGCAGATGCTGGGATGTGATGACAGGTTTGTTTCCGGGACACCAAACATCCTCTTTCATCTGTCTCAGGACCTGGTAACATATCTTTCGGCAACCACCATCATCATCTATCCCCTCCATGAGCATATACTCAGCTCGGTCGAAGCCCAATTGCCAGTGGTAACTAGAGCGAGCCATCAGGTTAAACCCCAATGACTGCAGGTGAGAGAAAGAGGAAAAACGCAATCAGCTGAATGAGAAACCCATCTCTAGAATGGTAAGGAAGTCTCAGGATGGGAAAGGAGAACTAAGAGGGAATTTCCCAGCTTGTCTAAGAGATCAAAGTGTAAGGAATGTGAACGTCAGGGCATGTTACTATATATTGAAGGGCTAGGAATACAGATTGTGATTTCATTGATATAGGAAACTCTCAGATTAAGAAACTCCCTTTGCCAATGCATGTAGGGGCAACTTCTTTGTAATTTATCATCTGAGATAGTTGCCTGGGACACTGAGAGGCTAAGTGATTTACCCAACATCACATAGCAAATCTGTGTCAGAGGATACACCTGAACTGGCTCCAAGGCCAGTTTTCTAATCATTATGTCACTTTGACTCTCCCATATTAAAGGGGACTCTCAGAATTGTCCCTTCTTGGAAGGGATACTAATAGGAGGGACCTGAGGTTTACAGGATATTCATCATTTTCCTCTGAATCATGGGAATTCAGTCCCATGGTATTCCTTCTTCACAAGTGAAGCAGAACTCAGTCCTTCAGGTAATCAGTTGGCCTTTTAATAGTATCCCATTCTCTAGTGAACTCTACAAAGGCCCTTCCACCCTAGCCCTTGGTACTCTTTAATTTTGGTAGTTATCTTATCTTTTTACTTTCAGTTCCAAATTCTCTTCCTCCCTCTATTACCTTCTTCACCCATTGAGAAGACAAGAGCTATGATACCCATTATTCATATAAAGGCATGCAAAATATTTTCCAACATTATCTATGCTGTGGGGGAGAGAAAGCAAGAAAAATAAAGTGAAAGAGAAACATGCTTCAATCTGCACCATAAGTCCCTGGTACCTTAACACATTGTATTTTCTCCCGAGAAGGCCAGCGTGAGAAACATCGAGGCCACTTAGCTTTGTCGCTCCAACGGTTGAGGACCTCTATTATTGGAATCAGCTCTATCTCCACCTGAAATTCTGATGTCTCCACAATCAATCGAATAAGAGAGCCAAAATTTTCTAATATGCTGACTTCATCTGTTAGGAAATCCCAGAGTAATTTGTTAAAAAGAGAAAACCTTGCTTAAGGCCAGTTACCAAAGAAAGCCGGAACAGGCATCAATATTCCTGACAATAGGTGGAGCACTTTTTACAGTGTAAGCAACAGGGAAGGGCATTTAAGGGTGAGACTCAAATGGCAAGAGAGATTTAGAAGCCAGGTAAATATTGCCCTAAGCATTACCCAAAGAGCTTTGCTTTTTGCAAACTCGTAGAGCAGTGATTCTTAACCTGGGAGCCATGGACTTGTTTCGTTATTTTTAAAAATATATTTTGATAATTGTATTTCAATGCAATTGATCTTTTTGCAATACTATGTATTCTATTTTATGCATTTAAAAATATGATTCTGTGCACAACAGAAAACAAAAGAAAATCAACAAGGCAGCAAAGAAAAGCTGGGCAGTTTTGAAAATAACATGTGGTATTTATTATATACTAGACATTGAATGGAAATTTATTGTTTTATATTGAATCCTCTCTTATGTTCTGCTGTGTACATGACATTTTAAAAATTAATTTTGTATTTGTTTAAAATAAAAACAAAATTATGAAAAAACCCATTATTCTGAGAAGGGGGGTTTATAGGTTTCACCACACTGCCAAAGGACTCCATGACATAAAAAAAAAACCAAAAACCAAGGTTAAGAATCTTTGCTTGAGAGGTACTTTGTAGTAATTGTAAGTGTCTTACTTCAAGAAAGTGAAGTCAAAAGATCTGTGTTCAACATCTGGCTCTGATGCTTAATTTTGTTACTTGTGGCAAATTACTTCATCTTCTCAGAGCCTCAGTTTCCTCCCCTCAAAATGATAACATTAACATTTGTACTACCTATATCCCAGGGCTGTTGTGAAGAAAGTGCTTTGTAAAACTTAATCCTTTATAAACCTATAGCAATATAAGTTATCATCATAATAATTTGTGGTTCATTCCATATGCCTCTCCTTCCTATGCTATGTTTATTAGTTATGCCACCCTCTTTCTAATGTTCAAAGCCCTTTATAACCTTTCCTCCATCCCCTATCTTTTCTGTCTCCTTACACCTCACTTCCTACCACATACTCTTTGATCCAGTGACATGGCCTCCTGACTGTTCTATAAACAGGACCCTCCATCTCTTGGATCTGAGCATTTTCTCTGATTGTCCCCCATGCCTGGAACACTCTCTCTCCTCATCTCTACCTCCTGTTCTTTGCTTTGTGTTGAAGTATTTGTTTATTTTTTTTAAAAAAAAGGAAGAAAAATTAAAAAAGAGAGAGCTGGAAGTAATCTAGAAGGCTCAACCTGTATCTTAACAGAAATTCCCCTTACAGCATACCCTACCAAGGGCCATCCTGCCTTTGCCCAAAGATATCAAATGAGGGGAAAGCAATTCCCTCACCCCTCACCTCTAGACAGCCCATTCCACTTTTGGATGACTCTCATGTTTAAGAATTTTCACTTACATTGAACTTGAAATCTGTCTCCCTATAAATTTCATTCATCATTCCTTGCTCTTATCTCTGTGGCTAAACATATTCTAGATGGTGCAATGTATAGAGTATTGGACTTGGAGTCTGGAATATTCAAGTTCGAATCTTATCTCAGACATTTATGAGTTGTTTGACCCTGAACAAATCATTTAATTTCACTGTACCTCGGTTTCCTCATCTGTAAAATGGGGGTAATAGCATCTACCTCCAAGGGTTGTAGTGAGGACTAGCTCCAAGGGTTGTAGTGAGGATTAAATGAAATAACTTATGTAAAGTATTCTACAAACCCTAAACCTTAAATAAGTTATGTAAAGCATTTTGCAAATCTTAAAGCATTAAAAAAACATGCTAGCTAGCAATTAAGTAACAGCTTGAGAGTCTACCACTGCCAGCCTCATCGATACCATACTTCCTCATGGCCACCCAAGGACCTAAGGCCAGTGGAGCCAGCAGTAACAAGACGAGATAGAACAGTGCTTTCTTGCCTTAGCAATATAAATTTCTCCTTCTTTGGAGAAGGGGATGGCTCAGAAGGGAGGATGGAGGACTGTTGGCATCCTTTCCCTCCCCTCAGAGAGGTCATAAGGCATTGGGAGGACCAAATGCCACTCAGATGGGAGCTAATTCTCTAGTCCTCTCCCCCTCCTGACTGCTGGGATTTAGTCCCATATCTCAGACCATACTAGGATTTTATAAAATAATTATTACAACATCCAGTATCTATGTAGTATCTCTATCGCATTTACAGCCACTTCCTTATTTATTCTGATTATAGCAATGTGAAATACACATGGGGCGTGGTGGAAGGAAAGGAAGAATGACTAGAGATGTTAGTGCCTCATTTTCCAGGTAAGGAAAGAGGCAGAACAATCATGATTAAATTGAGATCTAGAAATGACTCAAAAGCCATATAGTTCAATCCCCTAATTTTATGTAAGAGTAAACTAAGGATGTGAGGGAGCTTGTCCAAGGTCACATAGCTATTAAATGATAGAACTGATTTCCAAATCAAAGTCATCTGACTCCAAATCTTTCCAACCCCTCCAACTCTCCATCTGCCATCTTTGCACAGGCTATTTCTGGAATATTTCTTCCTCACTTCTGCCTTTCAGAATCTCTAGTTTCCTTCAAGGCTCAACTCAAGCATCACCTCACACATGAAGCCTTTCTTTTTGTTTCAGTAAAAGGTATTGATTTGCCAGAAAAAACTTTTGACAATATAAATCAAGGAAGTTTATAGAATCAGCTCATTTCTTCTTAAATCAGAGCACTGTTAGAAAACAATTAAAAAATAAAATGATTCTTACAATTACTTTTTTTTAAAAGATGGCATATTAAAATTCTTTTCCTTCAGGTATCACTTTTTCCATAATAATAATAATATTTATATAGTTCATTATATAACATTTAATATGTGTTAGGCAGTGTGCTAATTACTTGATGATTATTACTTCATTTAATCCTCACACCAGCCCTGCAAGGTAGGTGCTATTATTGTCACCATTTTACATGTGAGGAAATTGAGGCAAACAGAGGTTAAGTGACTTGCCTAGGATCACATAGCTAGTAGGTGTCGGAGGCCAGATTTGAACTCAGGTATTTGTGATTCCAGCTCCTACCTATACAAACAAGCAATAGAGAAGATAAATTGGAGATAATTAACAAAGGGAAGGAACTAGTGTTAAAGGGGATCAGGGAAGTCTTGAAGATGATGAGATTTTTAGCTGAAACTTGAAGGAAGCCAGTGAAGCCAACACATGTAGATGAGGAGATAGAGCATTCCCAACAGGGAGGACAGCCAGTAAAAATTCAAGGAGTCAGGAGATCGAATGTCTTATGAGAGAAACAAGGAAGCCAGTGTCACTGGATTGTAGGGGTCAGGGCAGGGAGAAGAGGAAGGTATGAGAAGAAAGGTAGAAAGGGGTCAGGTTATGAAGGACTTAAAAAGCCAAAGAGGATTTTACCATTGATCTTGGAGGTAATAGGGATTCTCTGGAGTTGATTGAATGGGATTGGGGTGGGGTGGAGAGGCAGTCTGACTTTAGGAAAAGCAATTTGACTGCTGAATGGAATAACAGGTGCTTAATAAATGTTTGTGGATTAACGTATTTTCACTGTACCACAATAAATGATTCTGATAAGTTAGCTGACCCCAGACTCCTAAATTCTACTTTGTTCTCTTCTGTTTTCAAAGACATATGCACACTTTTTTTTTCTTCACATAAAGACTACATTTTCTTGAGTCAGTGTCTATCACTGTAAAAATGACAAATCTGACAAATATTAACATAACACTCGTATAATATGATCATACCTAAGTACATGAGAAAGGCTGGCTGACTGGCTTAATCAGTAATTTAGGCAATTCTCTGGGAAGCTCTGGATGAACCTCATCTTGTCCTTAAGACAGGAGAATCACTCTCTTTTGCCATGTGCTCTTTATTGCAATGTGACTTGGGATCACTCAGCTGGACATACCAGCATTTGGCCATTTAACAAAGAGTAGGGGATTGCTATGAATTTTTAAGGGGTAGACAGTTGGGGAAGTAGTTCTGATTTTGGAACCTTATAACCTTGATCATCTCTCCTTCAAATCAAAGGTCTTGAATTGACTTTCATTTAATCATTATCTGCTGGCTTTGTTTCCTCTCCCTTGCCAAGCCTCAAACCAGTCCAATTCAAAAGCAAACACCGATTAAATGCTTTCTAGATGTCAGGCACTGTTAGACACTGGATATACAAAGTCAAAAGGCACCAGTTCTAGAATTCAAGGACCTTACATTTCTGCTGGGACAGGGGAGTATGCACTCTATAAACAGCTGAAGTATAATGCAAAGTAATTTGAGAAAGAGAGCACTAGCACCCAGTGGGATCAGGGAAGGCTCCACAAAGGAGTTGGCCCCTTGTTAAAAGGTGTCAACTGAGAATGAACTTAGAACAAAAATAAAAATTTTGAAAGAAAGAAATAAGGAGGGAACATAGGATCATAGTTCTAAAGCTAGAATAGACATCAGAGACTATCTCATTATATATATACAACTGGTACTTTTGAAGGTTATAGCTGTGAATTTGTACATTCAATTTATTTTGCTCATTGACTTCATTGTACAAATGGAGAAGCTGAGTCCCAGGAAGGTTACAAGGCTTACTCAAAGTCACAGAAGTAGGATGTATCAAAGGTAGGATTTGAACCCAGAGTCCTCTGAATCCCAAACTAGTGCTTTTCCCATTGTACCTCCTTCCCTACAGAAGGAGGGAAACACCTGTATAAGTACAAAGTGGGTGGAAGATGGGTTGTTAAAATGGGGAAAGAGCTAAGAGCCCAGTCTGGCTGTAACAGAGAGAATTGATGAATGGTAGTAGTATGAAGTAGAACTGAGAAGCTGGGTAGGAACCAGATTGGAGTAAGTCTCAAACAGTATGTTGAAGAATTTGTATTATATTTTAGAAGTAATGGTAAGTGAAGTTTCTTGAGCAAGGCACTGACATGAGAGACTTACGCTTTCAGAAGATACTTTGGCAACTTTATAGAGAATGGATTGGAAAGGGGAGAAACTGGAAGAAGGGGGACCATTGAGGAGATTATTATAGTAGTTTAGATAGTGGGAGAGGAAATTCCTTAACTATTGTGGTGGAATGTGAGTGGAGAAAAGGGGACAGACCCAAGAGATGTTATGGAAGTAGAATACACATGACATGATTGGGTAATTCATCAGATATTGTAAGGGAGAGGAAAGAGTCAAGGATGACTCCTACATTACAAACCTGGGTGACTAAAAGAAATGTGGTGTTCTTAATAGAAAAGCCAGGTCATTTCTTCTCCAGACCAAACATCCTTATAGGTCCTTCAACATTTCCTCATAGTACATGGTTTTAGATTTAAGGGGTTGGGTAGGGAATATGATGAGTTCTTTTGGACATATTGAGTTTGAGATGTTCATTGGGCAGTTTATAGTTCAAGATTATAAGTCAATAGAGAAAACCAGACATCAAAACTTGGGAGGCATCTGCATTGAGGATGATTTTTGTTTGTTTGTTTTTTAGGCAATTGGGGTTAAGTAACTTGCCCAGAGTCACACAGCTAGTAAGTGTTAAGTGTTTGGTCTGAGGCCGGATTTGAACTCAGGTCCTCCTGACTTCAGGGCCAGTGTTCTATCCACTGTGCCACCTAGCTGCCCCTGCATTGAGGAATATTAAATCCAGTAGAGATAATAACATTAGAGAAAGGAGTGGAGAGAGGGAAGAGGATAGGCTCCAGGATAGAGCACTCAAGGATATTCACACTAAGGTGAAGGAGACTTAACTATCCTAAACACTTGACCCACCAAGTATAATTTTTTTTACAAGCTATATCTATAGAATGTTTTCTAAGAAGGATTCAAAACAATAATAGCTAATCTCACTTCTCACATTTTAAAATTCTACCACAAACACACATTTTAAAATTTCTTTAAAACTTACAAAGCACTTTTCTCACAGTAACCCTGTAAGGTAGGTTTTTCAAGTATTATCACCCTCAGTTTACAAACAAAGACATGGAGATGTAGAGATATGAAATGCTTTGTGGATCAAGTGGCTAGCAAGAGTTACAGCTGGGATTTGAGCCAGGTCTTCTGAGTCCAAAGCCTGTGCTTTTTTCACCAAGGTAAGCTAATTAGTCAATTCCCTTTTGAAGGCTTATTCTATGAATTCTATGAACTCAGAACTCAAGATAAGTACTTCTCCACTTGGTGAGTTCCATCTAAACAGCTTTAAGTCAAGCTCTAGTGTAGATAATAAGACTTTTGTTCTTTGCTAAACAGTGGTAAGCTACTGGGTTGGAAGGATGACTTGGAGGAAGTGTGAAAATAGAATTTTCATTTGAAGGTCTGATATTTCTGGGGGAGGGCAGCTAGGTAGCACAATGAATAGAATGATGGGTTTGAAGTCTGGCCTCAGACCCTTACTAGCCATGTGTCCTTGGACAAGTCACTTAACCCTGTTTGCCTCAGTTTCCTCATCTGTAAAATGAGCTGGAGAAGGAAATGGCAAACCACTCCAGTATCTTTGCAAAAAGGAAAAAAAAATGGTGTCACAAAGAGATGGACACAACTGAAAAACAACATTTCTGTTGGAATCTCTGAATGTTTGAGGTTCTGTGAGCTTAATTCAGTTTTCTATAACAAAGCAAATAATTGTTGAGGATTGAGTTCTCATAAACCAAAAAGTCAAAGTACTGGTGACTTGCCTCTTCACGTTAGAATCCTGGTCTTAGCACCTTAGATTTGGAAGGGAACTTGGAGATCCAACCTCTGCTTGAATACTTCTGGTGATCGGTGACTTACTATTATAAAGTCATTTCATTACAGTTTTTAATAGCTCTAATTATTAGGGAGTTCTTCCTTATAACAAACCTAAATCTGCCTCCTTATAACTTCTACCCATTGGTCCTA